GGAGTGATAAAAGCAGGAATAGCATTCGAGTATTGTCCCCCTTAGAAAAACAGTTGGGTACCCGGCTCGTAAGGCGCTGACCGCCTCTCTTGCTCTAGGTGTATATCCATCTAGCGTAGTAAGCGGTGGTGTTACGCGCGGCACATTAGCAAGTCTATTGACATGTCTGCGAAGAGGCTTGTGGTTCGAACAGAATCGTTTCGGCAGCTCATGCTAGTATGTTAACCTTTCCTCAAGAGCCAACTGCAAATATCATATACATTTTCTTACGCACAATGTCTAATTATTTCCACTAGGAGGGATTTTTAAATGCGCGGTGTCCGGTCCCTCAAATGTAAGTATTTTCGGGTTCGGTTCCTCAAATAACGTTTTAGGTTGAAGGGAAAATGTAAAGTTTTCGCTGTGATGCTTTTGCGGATATTGACATCAAAATTTTTACTGTGTTTCACAGACTATATCTGGGTTGCATTCAGTCATGAATGTCCAACTTTAGCCTTCAGCGAATGCGTACACTACGTAGTAATGCGTAAGAGCTTGCATCCCATAGAGCCCTGCGTTGGGATATGTGGCTTAACTGAGTCACCTGCCCGCTTCGACCCAAATGACTGCACACATCTAGCGCATCAACCATGAGCTCCCCGCTGATGTGTACTAGGTCTAACAATGACGGTGTACTCGTTGTTCTGAATCTGGTAGGAACGGTGACCTTATTGTACAAAGGTATGCTAGAGATTAGCTCTTGCATATACGCTTTGAACTCCTTACTCCAGGTTGTTGGAGTTGTCAGATTAGGAATATTGAAATCTCCCGTAAAGAAGAAATGGTCGTATGTCTGATTTATCGTAGTATGAATACAGATATCAGTATGTGGTTCGATTCCAGAGTGGATTTGGGCAGTCGGTATATGTTGTTATCCTCCAATCATAGGCTGTACCAAAGGAGGTCAGAGACACGTTATGTGGATTAGTTATCAGTTCACAGCAAAGCCTTGATTGTAATGGATGATCCCACCCCTAGCAGTTCTGGCGCAATGGCCAGTGACTCACCTACACATTGTGCAGAGTCAAGGATACCATCCGATCCATCTGAATCAGTTACCTCCCAAGTAAATGAAGTGTTCGATAAGACGGACAACTTCTCGGAAGGGTGACAAACGCCAGCGAGCGGACTAACAGTAGTGGTTCATTCTGTTGCAGTCTCCACTTGCAACACCCCGGGATTTCAGGCAGATTTATACTTTGATTTTGAGCGAGGCCAGCTCGGCTGACGTATTCACAACGTTTGTCAGCCTGGATATCAATGCTGTAAAACTCAGCACCGATGAAAGCCAGGAGCTTTGATATCCGAGTGCAAAAGTCAGCACAGTTGAAGAGCAGGGTTTTACTGGATGATAGCAGTTTGAACTGGTCCATCCTGAGGCCGGTGTAACGTCCGTACTACGAACGACAGCAAAGATCACACTGCAGACTACTAGGAGCATTTATGCAGGTTTTGAACAGTTTGTTTCCCACAAGCAACATTTGACTTCTCAGGCGTGGACCTTTAAGGCCCATCCGCGTCGGTAGTTAGCAAGACAGTCTGTTGAATTGGAAAACAGTAAGCAGAATTATAACAGGTATAAAGTATTAGGACGATGAGCAGGAAATAAGTAAAACGGGGGTGAAAACACAGAAGGACACGTTAAATTCCATGGATGCATGGTAAAGCCAAATATCTTAGAAGAGTTTCGCCAGGATACCTCAAGCGAAAGGGGGTATGATCAGGCTGTTGCACTCTGGGGTTGGTTCCTGAAGACGCGTTAGGATTTGCACAACTGATCTTTTCCATTTTGGGGACGGCGGTGTAGCGCTTCCGGATAAGTATGGAAATCTGTGTTATTTCGAAACTGCTACGATGAACTCTGGATAAAATTGCTCTCAGAATCGTCTAAACATGAATGTCTTCACTCGCAGGTCATAACTCCAACTATGAGATTGGGGAAATAATGAACGGCAGATACAAAGGTTCGTACAATGGAGTCAGATCTGCCGAGATGTTTATGCATTGGCCAACGGTAAATCACCGCTCCAAAAGGTACATTGTGAAACCACACCACTGTTTTCAACACTTACTCAGCAAACATGAACGCATCATCAGCTGTATAGCACGGTAAAAGGAAGCGTGAAATCAAAATCCGCAGTTGAGGAATGAAGTCAATACTGAACCAACTGAACTTATTGAAGGGGAGCTAATCGTTACTCGTACACATCAGTTTTCGCAGAATTTCATGGTTTTTTCCTATCGTTCATCATAAGTTATTGTAAGGCCAAATCTTAGCACGCTGTTAGCAGCATCCAGGTGTTCATTTAACCTTTTTATGGTCTATTGTGGCTGCTGCTAGTGCTGAATTCTGCAGATAGCTTATTCCATATTTGTGAATACTGAACTTTAAAACAGTTAGTTCCCTTTAGTAACTTGAAAAGCACAATTAGAAGACGAAGCTCGTCAGATGCATGCATTTCGTATCCTCTCATCAGTGCCGATAACGATAACCGGTAATTTTATATAACAGTTTGTGGGTACAGACGTACATACAAACAAAGGGACGAAAAAAGGGGTGTCTTTCTTCTACAACCAGGGCAGCCCGAGGCTGACCGATAATTGTTTTTGAACACAAAGCACTGGCCTAATCCGATTAATGGCAATAGCCTCGGCAAACCGGAGGAGCCGGGAATTAGTATGGCGAAGCAGGATTCGAAACGCCTTGTTGACCTCAATTCGGTGACCCGATGTCAATAAGTGCCTGCCGATCGAAGATGCTGGCGGCCTGCGTACACATGTAGTCTGCGTTGGGCTTGCTGGCTGAATAAGTCCGCACCGAACCCATTTTGGTACATGCTCCTTAATTCGGGAACTCAGTGTTCTATTGGTTCTGCCTATGTAACTATCCCCGCAGTTACATACGAATTGATATACGCAGTGGGAGTTGGCGCCAATAGGCTGAGTTTCCTTTAGTGGAGGCAACGGTAGGTTATGAGTTCGGTCGATGATTACAACTTCGGCAGCACAGAAAGTGATCTTTGTGGCGGAAATCAGACGTCTTCTGGTCCTCAAAGAAGCATTGTCACCCTTAAAAGGCAGCTCCAAGAATACCTTTTTCTTAGGCACAGTAGGTATAGCAACTTTCATTTCACGAATTTCACTGTGATTCCGGATAAATGTTCGAGGGTAGCCATTAGCAATTAACGTGTTGGTAATTAACTCTATTTCATCGGCTAGACAATCGCTCGAACATATTCGTCTGGCGCGACTAAACAGGGTCCTCACAAGCGTTCGCTTGTGCCGCATTGGCGTAAAGCTGCTAAAATGCAGATACTGTCTCGACCACGTTGCTTTTCGATAGACAGACCGTTTTACCAGTCAGTCCTTTCTGCGGCTGAGAAGAACATCCAACAATTATCGGTCAGCCTCAGACAGCCCTGGTTGTAGAATACTGAACTGTACAAAATTTTGAGCAGAGTTTCAAGTAAGTTTTTGTACTGCGCATTATCCGGTCGTCCTTTTCTTTTCCCCCAATGCCCAGTAACCTGAAACTGAAGAGTAGACTTAGCTGTGACTCAAAAACCGAAGCCCAAACGATAAGGTAATAGTACATTAAAGTTAAATTCTGCATAGCCATCCTGCTTCATAAGTTAACATGTTACAGCTTTCACAGCACTTTATTCTTATGGGCTAATTCAGTAACTTCGAGGCAAATATCTCTACATATTTTCTTGTGTGCCAGCGTGTTCCATACCCAAGTTACTGCATGTACTGGTCAGTAGTCAAGCCGTGTTCTTACGTACAAGTTGAACTTTTACAATCTAAATTCTAACGGAATACTAAGTCTTATACAGTTGTATGCAGCCAATGTCGTGAGACAGTCTGTCGAAACTTGTCTTGTTCCATCTGATTGGAAGTAACAGAATACATCGGCCCCCAGTCCACAGACAGTGTCTTGCGAGTGGAAAGCAGTTTGGCCAAGCGTCAGAACGCCAGGAGTTGCACGGTATCTACCCAGCCTAATGATAATAATGAAGAATAATGTGTCAGCTATACGCTGTAACGGCGACCACACCAGTCGCGCGTGGGCTGAGTATACCGCGAGGACACCCACCCCTACGCGAATTAGAACCGGTGATCTTATGATTGCAAGCCAGGCGTGCAGACCACTTGGCCACCTGGAGTTCTGGAAGCACCTACCCAAGAGTGCAGCCGGTTTTGGTTTCATAGCGGCAAATTATATTATTATTATTATTACTATTATTCAAAACCTGACCAATCTACAATTGGCAGTGCCACAACACATAGTTAACAACAACAACAGCAACAAGGGGAAAGCAGGTAGACAGTGGAAAGGCTTGGAAGGTTTACAAGGTTGATGTACTGTGCGGGCAGAGATATTCGCAGTTGCCCAGGCCGAGGAAGACGGTTGACTTAAGGGACCCCACCCCGAGCCCTTGGTTATAAAGGTCTGATCCGCAAGGCAGCGGGACGATAAACAGAGACCGTTGACATCCGGGTAGCTCATTCGTCTTCTTTGTGTTCAGTAGCAGTCCACAGAGAAGCCGGTGGCCAGCGAGGTTGTTCATCCGCCCTCCGTTAGGTACTCACTTCTGGTTACAGAAGTGAGTGCTCAGTGACCCTATAGCCGGTCACACTGGCTTTGACACAGCGTCGTACGAGCTCTTGTGGTATTTGATGGAGAACCAGGCGAAACATGGAACAATTCCCTGTCGAATTACGTATAACCATTTTCCACCAATGTCACCACACACAGTAAGATGACTGGATAAGCTTACACTTTAGCTACAGGGGATAGGGATCTGAAGCTTATCAAACTCCCACAAAGGAAGGCTCCTCATGGGCAATGTTAAAAATGCGGTGTATTCAGCGATAAACAGCGTTTTCATAGTGCAGCTGTACCCCAAGTACCTATTATTTGTCGTGCATCTGATTGTTCTTATTCTTTATTAACTCCACAGTAACCACTGCGTCTTAGAACACGATTCTTCGCACAAGAAATGAAGCGGCAAGACAAAATTCCGTGGGTTCAGCTTACTTTGATTGTCACACCCTCTCAGGATCAGTAGCAGATTAAGTGAAAACAAAAAGCTGGAACAAGAGACAAAGGTTATAGAACAACGCTTGAGTCTGCTTAAGTCTGCTTTGAAGGACAGTATGCCAAAACCTCTTGAGAGCGCTGGACGGTTTTGTGGCCAGTTTAAACCACCGCATACTGGCGAATCGGGCGAACCCCTCTGGTCTGCTAGTCGCATGGGGGCCACTTATGAGACCATTAAGAGAAGAGTTGGGACAATTAATGTAAGTTCACGATAGAGGTCTGGGTGCAGATTGCAGAACCATAGCCGTCGAAGTTGAAACTAAAAACATTAAAGCATGAGTCTACCGAATCAAAATCCACGAACAAAAATATTTACAGTGATATCATCCAAAGACTGACGACACAACTGAACAATCCCGAGGCTAATTTGTGCCAACCTGCGCCGTCTTCCGATACAGTGAAGTGTGGACAGTGTGAGGCAGTGGAAGCAGCCGTGGTAAGATTTAAATTACCTTTCTTGCTAAACTTGAAGTTTTCTTAAAGGCCTGTCAAGAGTGCAGCGAAAATTATTGTGCAAGGTGCTTTGCTCATTTTCATATGAAGGGCGCGCTCAGACGCCATCATTCTCTCCCTTTATCAGTACGTTGTGAAGTGTTTACAGAACTTTTCCTATGTTTAGCTGCTTCAGAAATGCCATCGGACAATTTCACAGCCTCTGAAGGAAAGTAAAATTGAAGGTCTTCATGTCAAAGTAAGTTTTGAAAGCAGACTAGTTCACAATGGACAAACTTTTGATTTTATGTAAGTATTATGCCCTATGAATATACAATCTAATCTTTTGAAGATGTCGGCTTTGATTGTGACCTTGTGATGGCACCACTAACTTTGTGCTCTAAGTAGATGTTATCATCCACCCTCGATGCCGCCGTTCACTTCGATATCTCTCATAACCCTAAGTTGAGTCGCGTTATGGAGTGCAAATGGGGCGATTTTCCACCTGTGCCCTGACCACTACCGTGGCATTCTGAACCGAAGCTCCGTGTGCTTCCTAAGAAGTTTAGTCGTCTGGCTGTCAACGTGTCTAAATGGCTAACATGGGGCTCCTTGCCCTGAGCTTTGAAGATTTACACAGATAATGACGAAACCAGCCGTATGCTGCTCTGTCGTAAGTTAACAACACCGAGTCGTCGCAGTGACAATAAATTTCTCTCGAAGAAGCTGGTGCACCGTTGCCTGCACTTGCCGAATGTACAGTCAGAGAAGCATCGACATCGCTGTACCACTGATTAGCACCTTAACTTTGTTTTGGTTTGACTCTTACACGTAAAAGAGATATGCGGTGGCCCAACATTGGCTACACATCCCGTAATACAACACACAGGAATTCGGTTGTTTGTGTCCCATACGCGATGTCGTGGAAGATATGCATATATAAGGGCTAGACCAACAGTGTGTAGTAGAACAAGCTGGAATCAACCCGGTGATTTTGAGCGATCAATCCGGAAAACCCTAATTTCATTGTTTACCCTGCCTTTTCTTCCTAAAATGCCAAACGCGTAACCAGTCAGACCCATGTCTTACTCATGCAACCCAGTTCAAACTGCCGCCTTGTCTGCTCGCCATGGACTGCGTTTCAAACTTTCTACATAGCTGAATTTGGTGCCTGCTGCTGCATCATATTTTATGAAAGCTGGTGACCTGAGAGAGCTGCGCAGCGCTACCTTGCACCAACAGCCTGTCTTCAGTGTCGAGCTAGTCTATCATACTGAGTGGTGGTTCCATTGCGGCTAACAAACCCCGATTTTACGGACTAAGAAAGACGCAAAAGTGCAATCTGCCGCGTCAAAAACGTGAACTGGTTCCGGCGCAAGAGTTCAAGCCAATATCTTGCTGATCGGAAGACCAGTTGAATGAACACGTTGTGCGCTCGGATTGCGATGCGCAGTCTCAATGAAAACAGTGTCTTCCACTGAAGTGAGCTTTGGTCATTCGACCACTAGGATCGTAGCAGAACTGGATGGAAGTATCTTGCTGTTGCCGATGATGCTGCTGAGTACCACTAAACTATGGTGAGCCGCAGCGCAGTGTGTTGCGAAGTAAGACAAGTTTTCTTGAATGATTTGTGTCCCCAACGTTTTTAACTACTGGCGATCCGAATAGCATTGCCCCCATCCTGGAAGACGGACCGATCCAACGGAAGCTAAGCTTGAGTTTGCATACTTCGTGCTTCTTTTCCATCTATTGGTTGTCCACCGCGGTACCTTTTCCAATCGCTTCTGGGGAGCGCAAATAACGCTCGACGGGGAAGGCGATAGGCGATACGTTGCAGAGACAGCGCGTGCGTTGTATCAGGATAACCTTTTGGAGACGGGCTGTTTGCTCCAAACACTCGCTCTCGGATTCGGCGTTACTCACGTGATGGTGCCACCACACGCGAGCAATCCTATGTAGACAAGGATTGTCGAAAACTGACAATCGTTTTATGTCTTCTTAGCGAGTCGGCCAGGTCCCCCAACCGTATAAAAGGACTGCACTGAAAAAGGCAATGTACACCCTTCCCTTGAGTTTGCGACTTACATCGTGACGGCGCCGTAAGTGTCTTAGTCTGACCAATGCAAGGCTGGCATTTGTGACCCGTTGTGAGACCTCATTTCTAAAACAGCTGCCAGCTGTGATCCAACTCCCCAGATAAGAAGCAGTGGACTTGTTTTAGGATGTCACCAGCAATGGTATGGACAGGCACATTCATCTGCCAATCCTGGAGTAGCATTTTACATTTTTCTGGCGTGAAACACAGGTCATACTTAGATGCCTCCATCTCTAAGCGTTTCAGAGCGCTCTGGACGGCTTGTGGATCGTCCACGAGCAAAGCTATGTCCTCGGAGCAGTAAAGTATGTGATTCTGTCCCCTGGGAGTAGCTCAATACTGCAGCTTTGAGGGTTTGCAACGCACGTTGGACGACATCTTCAGTAACTAGATTGAGGAGGAAAGGTGAGATAGGCAACCTTGGCGCACGCTGCTGGTGAGAGCGAACGAAGTGGAAAGCATGCCGTAGGCCCTAACTTTGTCCGACCAATGACTGTGGAGACCCTTCAAGATGGTTACAAACTTGTTGGACACACCTCACCTTAGTAGGCAGTTCCACAACGCAGATCTATCTACCGTGTCAAAATCCGCTAGGATGTGCAAGAACACGACGACGTCAGTGGAGGTGTCGGAGTTCAACATGTTGGCGGAGTGTGAAGATGTGATCAATGCAGCTTCGACCTGGACGAATCCCCCTTGTTCCTCTCGGTAAACGCCTTCTCTAGTCGCTGAGAGCCTGCGTAGTAGAACAGATACGAAAATTTTTGAGGCAACGGAGGTCAACAAAATTCCGCGGTAAATGGCGCATTCTTCGCGCGAGCCTTTCTTGTGAATCGAGACAATGACCGATTCTCCCGATGCAATTGGAACTTTCTCGTCACTTCAAAGTTTCGTGAAGTGTGTTACCATTTCGTTGACAAGTGCATCCCTGACATCTTTTCATAGAGCCGGAGTAGGCTGTCAGGACCGGGAGCTTTATGACACTTCAAAGATTGCATTGCGTTTGGGATCGCAGTTTCAGTAGGAGCATCTGTGGCGATAGGCCAAGAACAATCCGAGGGAAACGGAGGTGTCAAGATGGGCTGTGCTGAGCAGTTAAATGGGAAATCATAGTGCTCTGTCCAGTGGCCCAACGGCCTGCGCACGCTAGGGATTTTCGTGCCGCCTGACTAACAGCGTGTGAATTGCAACCAGTGGTCTTGATGAGGTAAAACAAACTGCGGAAGTTTCCAGCCGATGCAGCGGCCTCATCTCAGCAGCTCGTTTTGACCACTGGGATTCATGGTCTAAGCGAAGGTTTGACTTCAGGTTTTGAGAGATAGACCGGCGAAGTTCATTGTGCTCCGCACTAGCGGACACAGCCCATCGCCCATCTAGCAGTTCCGAGCATCTTTAGTGAAGTCCAGCTTCTGGTCGCGCAGCGGGTGAGTCCGCAGTTGGACAAGCCGACGGGCACCATTGCTTTTTGCAAATTTGTCCAATGTTGAACAACATCCAGAGCATGGGATGTAGCGAGATTTTCGCGAAGCCTCTGTTGATACTGCGTTTTCACCGTTGGGTCCTCCAACATTTGTGTGTTGAGTCGGGTTTGCTTGACCTTGGGTGAACCGCCGAAACTCATACAAATTATCGCACACACCACTGCGTGATCGGTGTCAACACATGTTGACCAAAATGATCGGCAATCGCGTACGCTACCGCGCCACCTGCGACTGATGGATATGTGATCAATTTGCGACCAACGCTGGGTTGACGATGGAGGACGCCAGGTGACATAGTGGCGTCCAGGGTGACGAAAGCTCGTACTGGAGAAGAAATGTTGGTGGTCAGCACAAAGACTGTGCAGTCTCTCACCGTTGTCAGAGCGAACATCATCATACCCGGGCGGTCCACCGAGATTATGTCCACATGGTAGCAGCCGAACAATGCATGTTTAAGTCTCCTGCCATAATTACAGTGTTTTAGGCGCCCGTAGAAGCAGCTCATGAACATGTTGATAGAACTGGTCCTTGATTGCATCCGAGCTGCAGTCAGTGAACGCGCAGGCGGGGACCACAAAAAAGCACGCTTGTCAGTGCGATGCCTGATAACCTTACAACAGCCACGGAGCCTCACAGCGCATAGGCGACTGTTGACTGGAATCCACTCAAGGAGGGCGGCATCGGCTCTAGCACTGAGGGAGATTTATAACACCAGCTTTCCCAGATGCGGCGGAATCAGCGTCACCAGAAAGGCGAAGATAGAAGCGTGTGTGTGTTTAGGTAGGTGATGACGGCTGGTCGCCTTTATTGAAATCCTGCGGTTGCTTTTTACTCAGGCAACTGACATCAATTTCAACGGTCTCCAGCGTGCTTCCAACTCCAGCTTGCTGTCCGATCTGCAGTAATGTACGTACCTTGAGGGTTGCCAGTTTGAACTTCATTCCAGGTCGCAGTACCGAAGAAGGCAGTATTCGGGGCTGGTAGCTCCCTGTCAAGGACTGTGTGATTGAGTTGGCGGGTGGCGAGAGAACAGCATCATCGGCGGAATTTTTGTTGTTCACAATTGAAGAATCAAGTAACAGTGGGAATGAACGATGCAAGGAAAGCGTGTGTACATTAGTGGCGTGTGTTTATAAAATTGGCGTACTATCAGGACGGTGGATCATGAGAGCTCAGGAGGTAGTAGTTATGCGTATCCATGATACGTCAGTAGACGAAATAATACCCGGTTGCTTAGGCCGAAGTATGTGGGTTGTCTTAGGGGACCACAACCCCGCGCCTTTGATGGAAAGTCCCAACCTACCAGACGTGAAGGCGAAATATGGGTTTCGCCCCATTGGGATCCAGTGACGAAAGCCGTACCAGAGGCACAACGCTCCCGAAGTCAAAGGCAGAATATAATGCTCAGGTTTCTTGCTGGTATACAATGTCACCAAGAAAACAACGACAGTGCTTTTATTTAGTGGTGAGCCATATTCATCAGGTCACAATGTTGTTAAATGGACATATGTGGCTTTTTATATGGAGAACGCTGCCGCCGAAAAATTCGCCGGAATGACAAATACCCAAACCGCCCAGCTGGCTCAACGAGGAGGTTGTTCGGCAAGCCTTAGCATTATGTTAAACGTCAGGTGACCCGTGGCCTTGACGATCACAAGCCTGCCTTGTAACCTGAGGTCACTG